ATTGATTGTGAATGCAAATAGTGTAGTTTTAGTTCCCTGCTATGCAAAAAAGCCATTGCCTACACAAGACTGAAAGAGTGTGTGTGCATGCCTGCGTATCCTTGGCTAGGGGAGACCGGAACCACTGAAACGGCCATGTGGAAGAACTCATTTGTCCCAGTTAAGCATTCATGAATACTAAATCAAACCTTGAATGGAACATTCCTACCCCAGTTTTCCTGCTCATAAATTTCCTTCCCAATTCACAATAACACATCTGAATGAACTACTTACATAAAAATGTAAACAACTTTACACCATTAACAAAGTATACCATTACTGTTTTTAAAATGCATTCATAAACAGCTAAAATAAACATAAATATACATTTTTAAATATAATGTAAGTAGCTTAACAAAAAATGATCACAACAGTTCAAAAATTAACTTTTACATTTACACAGGGAACCACAATAGAGCACTCTATGATAAGCAATTTCGATTAAAATGTAAATATCAATCATTTTGTGGTGGTGCTCAGGACTTTAGTAGAAGCCTTTTTCATCCATTCAAATGCTGTGCACTCCACAAACTAGATTAGCAGGCACTGAAATATCTGCAAAAGTAGATGGAAAATATGTTTTTAGTAAATGTGACATTTGATGTAGCCAAACCAGTGCAAAAACATCTTCTTTGGGACATGACTTAAGAATTGTGTTTACTAGCAGACAGAGGTGGTTGTTGGCTTAAATCCTGATGCCACTGTCTTTCATACCTATTTTTTTAGGCTTAGGGAGGTTCAGGTTGTTCATGATCTCCACAAACTCCTCCATGCTCTTAGTCAAGCGTGGGTTATACTTGCGCTCCTCGCCCACTGTAGAAACCGTCTGACCTGAAATGCAAAATTAGATGCAGACCAGCATGACAGTTTTAGTTTTTGTAGTTCTAAATTCTGCCAGATGTTAAATCTGATCACTTAAAATATTTACAAAGAAACAACTTCTGACACACAACACATGCACTGTAAAAACAACATATATACTACATCTGTACCAGTTCCTATGAGTGGGAAACAAATGGCCGATGTGGCTGAGCGTCAAATCTGTGCTGTTCAAAATTATTCACATCAGTGACTCTTAAGATATGCAATACACATTTACAAACATTTGCGTGTGAATGTGTGTTTTCAGCCAACCTAAGTAGTCATGTGCTGGGTAGATGAGGCACTCATCAGGCAGGGTGAAGATTTTCTCATGGACTGAATGGTAGAGCTTTTCGGCACAACCTTTATAAGAATAGCTATAAATCAGACAATTGCAATGGAAAACATATGAAACACTGCCCCCTTGTGTTCATTTAGAAGAACCACAAAAGAGTGCATGCGTACCCTGCTGGAAGTCTGTCCTTCCACAGCCTCTAA